CTGATTTAAATTAATAAGAAATAAATCATTTGTTCAAGTGTTTTGTACCCTAAAGGATAAAGTGATTGTAATGGTTCTCATTTTCTATCAGTAGATTCCTCTGGGACTATTTAGCGAGACACATTAATGAGCCCCGAATAGAGGCCTCGCCAGCAATATTCATACTTTTCCTAAAGACTGTTAACTTGTTTTCTTAGACTGCCATCGTGTGGTCAAAATATTTTACTGCAACTATGACTCAAAGTAGGCCTACACATGTAGTCAATAGAAAAAGGTTTATTTACAAGGTTGAGGTCGTACTTGGCTGCAAGGGTGTAACTTTGGTTTGAAAAGTGTGGGGGGGGGGGGGGGGGGGGGGTATTTACCGGATCAATGTACAATGTTAAACAAACTTTTATTTCAAACTAACCGCTGTACCTGAAAATATAAAATAAATCACTTATTGCACAGGACAGAATATTCTACATCAGTGGATCCCAGACTGTTTAGAGTGGAGTACCCCCTCTTCCACTTATTAATTAGACGGCACTTTTTCCATTAAAGGACAATATTTGCCCCCTAGATTGACTTTCCGATGCATTTGTATCTTTATAAATAGAATATTAATGTTTAAAAAAAAAGTTCAATAGATTAATATGCAATGATGATAAAAAAGTGAAAAGTGATTCTTTTAAATAGTAAAACGGCCAGTAGGTGGCGGTAAGTCACTGTCTAATGCGTGAGTCATCGAGTCATCTGTTCATTCAGTAACTAAGCACATGGCTGTATTTATAAATTAATCATTGAATCAATGACTTTCGCGAACGAAACACCGCAAAACTCAGCATTTTGTTCGCGTACCCCCCTCTGTCGCCTCACGTACCCAAGTTTGGGAACCACTGTTCTGCATTAAATATTTAGCTAACAACAGTCTGTTACCTAGCAACAGTGTATGTTAACGTTAGGCTAACATTAACAGGTGTAGACAGAAAATATGATTATCCTGACCTAATTGACTGAATCAACCAACTCACATCTCCTTTCTTTCATCCTTCCTTTTCACCCATGATGACATTAAAGTCATCTGTTGCTGCTTCTGGCGTTTCATCGCTGACTGCCGCGACCGCGACACCTGCTCACTAGAACGTTCAGTGAGGGGGAGACATGTCCCCCCTGTCCCCAGTGGAAATTACGCCCCTGCTTAGCTGTATGAATGTAACAGCAAATTTGCCACCATGTCAATGACTGTACATTTGTGTGATAAATAAAGTTCGACATATGGGCCTGTGCTATAAAAATAAGAAAATGAAAATTACACTTTACAGGACTCTATACGACTACGGTCATATTTCGTGGATATTTAGGTTTCATAAACTCGAACAGTTAACGGCAGAGAGTAAAAAAAGATGGTGAAACTGTTCAGGTGATTGTGTCGGTCTGTTGTATTTAACTAACAAACCAGAAGATGGCAGCAATATGCCGTCGGTGTGCTTACTGAGAAACGGTAGAATAAAGTTTTTGTTTGTTTGTTTGTATTACTATTATTAATGTAATTTTTTGAAAAAAAAATAAGTCAACATTACAGCGTATTAATAGTGAATGCTTATAATCAATTGGTCACTGAAAGAATGCTCCATTTGCTCAGACCCAAATACATAATCCTTTTCAGGTGAATTCTCATAATAGGCTTACTAATAGTGCTGAACAAGTTCATATACATTTTGTGTAATTTAACGAAAATAGGTTATAGAAACATGAATTAGAAAAAATATCAATGTATTTTCATGATTCATCCAGAAATCACAATCTAATGCGGCATAGTTTTCAGCCTATGAAAGGCTGTCATCTAGTGGTGTTTTAGGAGAATGCAACCTTTACACATATTGACAAAGATAAGTTATACAACCTAACACATGGGTCAGCATTTAGGTCACTGTCATTCACACATATGTTTTAATAACTGTGTTTAGTGGACCTGAAATGATGAAAGTGAGCCCTCAGCACAGTTCAAATATCGAATAAGTTAGATAAAACAGGTCAGATTGGCGGCCTTGTGTTGTAACATCTGTATCTAAAGAACAGCTGTTAGATTTATTTATGCAAATGCATATCTCATCATATTCCATTAACTTGTAATTGATACATGGAAATATTGTTGAGACAATCAAGTTTCTAAAGGCCAGTGTCATAACTCCATCATGAGACCAACTTCACAGAGTGTAAAACAGGATGTTCTCCATGCAAATGTTTCACAACCAGTCCTACTTCAATTTTGCATGCATTGTCACAGCACTGGATGTAAGCTGCCCTCTATCAATGCCCTGCATGACACAAAAGGGATAAAGTGTGGAGACAAGATTACTGTCAAAACCCTCCATCCAGGAGATGCTTCAAATCATAAAGCAACTCCAGTTGGAACAAAAAGCAGCTTCTCCTAACGTATGCTTAAACAGCCCCTGGAATCATACATTTGCTCTGCACTGAATACTCCCCAAATCTTTCCATTTACATGTATGTTCTTATCCAATGCTTTCTTAACAAAGAGCAAAACATCAAAAATGCACATACAGCATAAGCAGGATTTAGCAGGTAGCTAAGGCCTCAACAGTTTGAGATCACTAATGAAATTATGCAGGAAGTCTTTCACCGATTGTGAAAGCAGTGCTAACACAGTCAAAATAAGTGGTCAGGGGCATTACAGAAACATTTTCAGTTAGGATGTCATTTAGAAAACTAGTCAGATCTTAACTGAAGTTTCTTTATTACAGTGCCAGGTCAGTTCAGAAACGCCCTGAAACATTAGTCAAATCAAGCGCTGTACATATTCAAATGTAGTGCAGTTCAGTGAGAAATGCATGATAGTCATTTTAATCATAAATTGCATTATTTGCGATTGTGTGAATCAAAATAAGGTGTATTTTAGAGAGGTTTGTTTAACTTTAACAGAATCAACTGTCGGACTAGGGGTCTGGTGATTCTTGAGAAGTGGGACAAAACAGGGTGCAAAATTTAAAAAATAAAACCTTGTACTCAAGACAAATGAAACTACATTTATGTATCTTATATGTACTAAGCTACTAAGCTATGCTTTGATACAACCTCCCAACTTTTCACTTTTTTAACAAAATGTGCTTTTTTTTATAGCTTGGACTGTGTAATATAATTTCAGCTTTATCTTTAACAGCATTCAAAATGTTTTTTAACATTTCAAAATGTGTTAGCAGACAGATTACACTTTCACATGTGACCAATAATTCCACAACAAATATAAAATATCATAATGAAATATTATCAAAATATTCAACTGACGGAGTTGACACATCTGACGGTGGTGACGAAACCTGAATTTGTAGTCATTTTAACCATCAAATACATTGAATCAGTCAATTAATATTAAAACAAACAGTGAGTATGTTATTGTTTATAAAGCTTTTATTCAAGAGTCACATTGAAGTATTTTGATATATCATTAGAACACAAAATCTCATGGTGGTGACATCTGACGGTGTTGACAAATTTGGCATTTCTTTCACAAAACCAATGGAGTTCATGTAGTAGCCATTTTATTTTTATCTGTTGATGCTAGATGCTAATGGAACCTGCTTCAGGAGAATAAAATGATCTAAATATTTCAAATAATTTCCTCAGATATTGGAAGATGGTGTTGACATATCATGACTGCGACACAGGAAATATTAACATTAGGATTTAAAATAATCTAAAACTAAAACTTAGCAGAGCCTGTCTGACACTGATGCACTCTGCTGCAGAGGTGAACTGTGGCAAGGGGGTCCTTTAGAGTGACAGCTGCCCCTGCATTTGATTGAACTTGCTTTTTATGTCATGAAGTATGCATTACTCGGAGTAAGTGACAAGAACTACACATTTGTGACATTATGATTCACAAACAGAGCTTCTGTCCTATTGATTGCACTGTTGTCTGCACATTTTAATTTCATTTTTGCATGTACAGTGCTGTGGTGACAAATAAAACTTGACAGGCTTCTCCAGTTTGGTCAAACGCAGCGAACGCCTCTGACGCTGGCCCACATTATGACTGATCTCGTGTAACGAATATGGTAATAAACCAAGAAAAGCATCCTTTTAAAGTGACACTGACATGAATTGTCAAGGTTGACGATTAAACACGCCACGAGCTGATCCTTGCATCTATCACTCTTTTAGCATTATAGCAGATGGTGCAAATGCTCACCAATCCATCTGTCCTCTTAAAATAACCCCGCGTTTTTCCAAATGCATTTTATTCAAATATCTAACCCTTCTCGGTGGTGAGTCACATGATGCACGCGGTCTTCATTGTCACTGTGAAAACGATAGTCTTCCGCGCAAGAAATAGTTTCCTGAATGTGATTTCTGACTGGCATGAGCAAACATGTTGGTGCACGTTCGCTCATTTTCTACGTTTTAACCTGATGACGTTCCTCGCCTTTCACGCACAAAAGTTAGCCGTCGGTGGTGTGAAAAGAGGAGCGACTGAGTGCCACAAAGCGTGCGAATACGATTGGGCTCTGCGCACATCGTGCACGCACTCTGCAATGCAATCCACACACACAGTTGATGCAGTACTGCTAGCCAGGGCGTTCAGACAACGAGTGAGACACACCCAGAGGAAAAATGGTCTCAACTAATGCGCAAGTACAATCAAAAGGGCTTGAGAGTAGCCCGCTTGCGCGGGTTGGAGTCAATGGCCAGATCGAGAGAAGAAGATTTTTTCCTGTTTTCTTCAAGGGCAAAATGTCCTGGTATGAAGTGATTTCGAAATAACGTTGTAAAACGACAGAGTCGCCAGTGAAATGCGCTCTCTCAACAAACAACCCAGCCGGTGCACTTGTGAAAACAATCATGCGCCAAGCAGTTGCTCTACAGTTTTTTCTAAGCGGTAGCGGAGCGACACACAGACATGACATCAAATATAGGTAAAGTCTATTGCTTTTTGTTCGTTTTAAGAGTCAATAAATGGCATTATCATTATTTGAATGTGTTGTATTTTGCGAGTTAAGATGGCGCCGGGCACAGTCAGGTGACCTTGTTTTTTTCCCCTCAATACCAACAATAGTCCGAGCGAGGAGCGGAAGTGAATGCTCCCCCTGAAATACGATTGGCTGGTTTGAACTGTAGGGAAAAGCGTGGGCCCGTGGTTGGCGTGTGCGATGTGGCAGTCAAGTGCATGTGACAAACTTGTTTTTAATAAGACCAGTGGCTACTGGTAACTTATGGGCTCTGCCATAGCTGGACTCGTTTGTAATAATTAAACTACGTCGATGTATGTCGTATCAGCACTTTTCGCCTTACAGATAGCGTGCTTTCGTATGTTTTGTCTAGTGCATTTTGTTATGCAACCATTCCCTGGTTCGCGTTGAAATATTATGCTTCAACCGTTTAAACCATTATAGGCTACTATTTACATATCAACGTTTATATAAACAGGGCTAACTCGTTTAAAACCCACACTGCGTGAAATCCCCTTTATTGTGACAAGCAGTGTGAAAAGTCCCCAGCGTTCACTGCGTAAACTATAAAGTAATAAAGATTTTTTTTAGCGCAGATAGTCTCGGTGGTCGCCGCCGTGCATTCCCTCCAAAAGGGGGAGGGGTCGTGTTTTCCTGACGGTCTATTATCCATCAGTCCAAAGTGACTGTACTTACCTGCCAGGAAACTGTGCTTCGAGACCGAAAGCAGTAGTTTGACAAAATATTTAATAAGTGCACAGCCCTTATTTAGTGCACTTAATATTTAATAAGTCCACGAGCGTTACATTGTATTGTAACCAACACGCGTCAGTTTATTTCAAAACGTCTTTTTTTATTATTCCTGTAACTCCTATATCCTGGTCAAAGTGTGGATAAAGGCACTTAAAACTAAAGTAACTAGCCATACCCCTGTTTAGTCTCTGCGCCTTCGACAGTTCGGTTGATTTTATCGCATAGATGTCACCGTAAAACAGATTCGCTGGATCAACCGAACAGTTCCTGTAACCCCACCCAGTTTGTGATCGACCGCTGATTGGTCTTCAGGGTCGCTGAGAGTATTTTCACATTCCATTCCGCGCTTCTAATTGGTCGCCGGTGACGACAATCCCACACCCAACTCCCACCCACTGAGGCATCATGTTTGTGAGACTCGCAATAGCTAGTTTGTTAAGAGGCTATAGCTGAATGTGCAGCAAAGACTCCAAGTCTAACTGCGCTCTTTGGTTTAAATCACTCACTTAGAGTTCAGTAAGATGGATATGATGCTGATAACGGTGTGATCTATAGAGAGATTTTTTTTGTTTGTTTGTTTTGTTTTGGTGATGATAGAAGTAAACACCACACTGTGCTCTTGGCATGCTGCAAAAGTTAGAAACCGCTCTGCTGTGACTGAATTTAAGCCTCTCAGGTGGAGACTAACAAATGCTGCATTCATTAATCATAACATTTAGTCTCATGTGCCCTTTAACAGGTGAAAGAGCTTGTGCTGGACAACTGTCGGTCAAATGAGGGCAAAATTGAGGGCCTCACTGATGAGTTTGAGGAACTGGAATTTTTAAGCACAATCAACGTAGGCTTAACATCAGTCGCCAATTTGCCCAAGCTAAACAAACTCAAAAAGGTAATAGGTGCTTTCTTGAACACTACTTCAGAAGTATCGAAAATATATATATTTTTTGATTGTGTGAAGTCTTATTAATATGACACTGAATATGTTTTGCACAGCTCGAGCTTAGCGATAACAGAATCTCAGGGGGTCTGGAGGTACTGGCAGAGAAGTGTCCCAACCTCACCCATCTCAACCTCAGCGGCAACAAAATTAAAGACCTCAGCACCATCGAACCCCTGGTGAGATGCGTTTATAGTATCATAGGAGTTGTAAACAAGTGGAGTTTATCAACTTACAGATGAAATATTTTAATTAATTGATTATATTTATATATATATATATATATATATATATAATTTTAACATTCTTGAATAACACATCTAAATAATTCTGTTGTTGCTTGGCACAAAAAAGTTGACTTGGATTTTAAATGGCTTGAAATGACAAAAACAATGCCAATTTATTATTATTATTGTTATTATTAATTTGTCCTCCTGTCTTTTTCCCAACAGAAAAAGTTGGAAAGCCTCAAAAGTTTAGACTTGTTCAACTGTGAGGTGACAAACCTGAATGACTACAGAGAAAATGTTTTCAAGCTGCTCCCTCAGTTGACATATCTTGATGGCTATGACAAAGAGGATAAAGAAGCACCCGACTCTGACGCCGAAGCTTACGTCGAAGGCCTAGACGACGACGAGGATGATGAAGATGGTATGTTTCTGAAGAGTCTGACTGACACCGTGCTTCAAGATGTATCCGTTATTAAACTGAGATTAAGGAATTGATTTGTCATTGACCTAATTTTGTTTGCAGAGGGAGAAGAGGAGGAGTATGATGAAGATGCAGCTCCAGGAGATGAAGATGAAGAAGAGGGAGAGGAGGAGGATGAGGAAGAGGGAGAGGAGGAGGAAGAAGAGGACATCAGTGGAGAGGTTAATGCCGGAAAATAATGATGGTTCCTTTTTTGTTTACAAATACACGTGTATATGGTGTCAATATGGGCCTTTTTTGCATGCTTTTAGGAAGAGGAGGAAGAAGAGTTAAATGATGGCGAGGTAGATGATGAGGAAGACATTGGTAAGTGAATGGATGAAGTGTTGTACCACCCGTGAATTGAATGCTGGTAAGCAGCGTGAGTAAGAGTAAACGAAACTTCTGGTCCTCCTGTGTTGTGTTTACAGAGGAGGAGCGGGGTCAGAAGAGGAAAAGAGAGCTGGATGAGGAAGGGGAGGAAGATGATGACTGAACATGCACTCCCCCCATTGTGATCTGACCGTTTAACCCCTGTATATCTGTCCTATTGTCACTCTGCGATGGTTTGGGGAGGTATTCAAATGGTAGGGGGTGGGTTAGTATAAAGGAGGACACAGTTTAAATATGTTTTTATCTTTATTTGTTGTTGTTGTTGTTTTCTTTTGGTTTGGTTTGTACTTTCAGTTTGGTTCCCTTCATTTTCTCCAAAAGCTCTTCAAATGGCTGACAACACAGTGTGGAAATTTATTATTGTTGGAAAAAAAGACCAGTATGCTCTTGTAATTTTTCCCTGTCTTTACTGTTGATGCCTAAATGCTGGTGATGACTTATGTATTAAAAAAGAAAAAAACAACCAAAAACCTTTTAGAAGTGCATGGCTGACTCTATTTTAAAGTTGACTACTGGCTTTCAAGGAAGAACATTTTCTAACCCACTTTTTTTTTTGCATCTTTTGTGTATTTTGTTTCTTTGGTGTTTTCTTCTTCATCATCATCACACCACTACCACCACCACCATGTGACGTGCTGTTTAGGCTTGAAGAATACGTCATGATGTCAGTTCAACCTCTCAATGTGATTTTTATTTTATTTTTTAATGTTCCGAGCCGAATGTCTGCCCTTGTCAAATGAGCCCTAAACCCCTTCTCCCTTTTGTGTGGATAGTTCAGAGGTTTCGTGTTCTTTGTAAATAATGACCAAATATATTTTTTTCTGATTCCCCTTTGATAATGGCAGACATTTTCACAAATAATCTCAGTTGTAACCATTAACTGTAATAAAATGAATAAAAACGAAAGAGGCTCTCTAATTTGAAGTTATCTGTTCTGACAGCCACAGAAAATCCACTTATTGTAATTAGATGTGATTACATACTTGATCAATAGATTATGTATTTGAAGTCTTGTGCAGAAATGACAAGTGTATATCATCTCGCCACTGATATTGCGGGTTAATTGAATATATGACATGAAATTGCATTGTGAAGCTCAGGGAAAATAGCTTGTCTATTTTTGATGATACGTGACTGAATATTGTGTAAATATTCAGAAGCATCATACCAATTTAAATAGAAAGCATACGCAATTTTAACTGAGCTGTATCCAGTTTTCAGATCATACTGATTGAACTTTTTATTAAAAGAAGACTTAAGATTTCACATGAATAGAAGTCAGCATTTTTGTTCAAATGATAGCATGTGCTTTGTTAACATGAGCATGAAAGCATTGCATACAGAGTAACTGAGGTGTCTCTTATGATCTGTGGGAACAGATTGCCATTGTCTTTTGTGTGTGTATGAGATCGAAGGTAAATTAAGCTAGTCTCAGTCTACTCTAGAGCGTTAGATTTGATGTACCATTCAAGTAAATTCAGCTCAGCATATTACAGTGTTCTTCCTCAGGAAGAGGTTTTTTACCTTGCATGCAATTACCTTTTGTGCAACATGCTTTAGTTAGTTAATCATAATGAACAGTGAAATACAGAGTAGTAATTACCAATTAATGTTCTTCATTTGAATCAGAGACAAAGGTTAGCCTATGTCTTGCCTCATAATGTCAGCAAGAAATATTTCTGCTAGTGCTGTCAAACGATTAATCGCATCCAAAATACGTTTTTGTTTACGTTGTGTGTGTACTGTGTATATTATGTATATATAAATACACACATGTATATATTTCAGAGAAATTTATTTTTATATATTGTATTTATAATATAAATTATATATGTAAATATTTTCAAAACATATACTGTATGTGTGTGTATTTAATAAATATACACAGAACACGCATATGCAAACAAAAACTTTTATTTTGGATGCGATTAATCGTTTGACAGCACTAATTTCTACATGAATTGTGCTTGTGTAGGCAGTGAACGCCTTGTCTGACGCCAAATGAACGGGGCTGAGTACAACATAAATATTCTGGCACCTCACGCGGTGAACAAATTATTAACCACTTCACCTCAACATCTAAAATGATGCACAATTATAAGGCACGAGATTTGGAATGTAGCTGCTTGCTACATAACCTGTTCCTCACTGTTTGGCCCATTTAGCTAGGCCCAGTGTTATTATTACCCGTTGTTCTCTAAGCACTACTGCTTGTGTCTGGACTGCTCTTTAACATGTTTAGAGGATGCTGTGTAGTCGGTTTCATGGCAAGTGAAGGCCTATGTGCTGAGATGAGCAAGACTGTGGCTTTACCGCCCCCTAATGTCAAAATACCTCAAATGCACTTTCTCCTCAAAACGCGCTATTACTTTGCAATAACGAAGCAAGAGCTGCTGGAGTTTGTGTTATTGTTTTATGAAGCAAAATATTTACAAACTTGAGGCTCATATTGTTTTCATTAAATAGCGACAGCAGGAAAATGTCAAACACTCGTTTTCGTGCTGGTCGAGCGAGGTTATTTATAACCACTAGTTCATTTAGGGACCTGAATATATACTTTAAAATGGATAACATTTGAACACATCAGCTCATAGGTGGTCGAGTAAATGTGCCATTCAACTTGAAAAACGTCCAGTTTGTACACCTGGAGTGTTTCGTAAAGATATTTGCCCACAAGGAATTTGTCCACTTTGCAATAAAACATTTGAAAGGGTTTACATTGAAAGTTCAAAGCTAAATACAATGCACTTTATAAGAGCTTACATCCCATCTAAGAAGCAATTTGTTTAAAAGGGTCAATAATTTGAATGGTACAGGACGGAAAGGATACAGTAAATTCATGGTTACAAGCTACAAGCCTGAAAAATTGAAACATTTCACTTGAAGGTATGAACTGAAAACGGAAATCAATAAATAGGTTTGATTTAAATGTTATTTAAAAAAAAGTAACAATGCTTCATGATGCTTTATAAATCAGTCAGTCTTTAAAATGAAGTAGCTATACCATTCATTCAACTTACTGAATCAAAAATGTAACAATTTCTGTCTTTCATTCTTTAATTTGTTGAACTTTCTTTTTCTCACGTCCTCTTTACTTTCCTATGGAACTACAGTGTAGGTCTCTAAAACTACATCTATTACTAGTTCATTTCATAATTGGATTTTACAATTTGTGGCCTTTTTGAATGTTTTCATCTAGTGCAAAGTGTACTTTTTCTAAATGTAAACCCATTTGAATTGCCTCTATAAACTGATTTGAACATATTTCACATTGCACAGTGTGAGAAGGATCGAAATTATGTGACGCTACAAATCCCCCAACTTATATTAATACAAACCCAACACTTCTAGATTGAGGAGCATGTCAGCTGGATAAATATCATGTCGTGTAAGATTACTGCACTGTGGCGTTTGAGTTTCTACATTAAAACGGCACTGTGAGTCATATCAAAATGATGTAATAGACCTAGTGTTTACATGAGATAACAGCTTGATGGGTGAAGCACGTCTGTTTGACATTATTAAAACACGTTTCTTCTCTATATGGAGTTTATTACGCTGTTTAGAACGAGGCTAAGTAGCACAAAGAAAAAAAAGAAATAAATAATTCTATTAATTAAATTTAGTCTACAATTATGAGATGATAATGCAATGAATAGCTTGTACCACAAACAATCCCTAGAAAGAATCAATCCACTGCAGGTAGACCGACAGTATGACTGAAGGTCACGTGATGGGACCGTTTTCACAGGGTTAGTGAATCATCACTCCAATAAAGTCGACTTAGTACACAGCAGCTGTGGGGTCAACACTGGGGGTCAGAGCAAAACACTGCTTTACGAAGACAAGCGCTTGCTCTTCTGTGGTCTTAAAGGAGAAATATTGGAGTTTTAGGCAAAAGGAAGCCTGTGTGTTTCAGCAGCGCTCAGGGCTTATAGTGTGTCACTTTAGGAAATCAATAGACACAGCACAGATCCAATGTCAAATGCTGCTACCATTGCTGCTGTTGCTACTGTTGTTATTGTTGTTGATATTTGGGCTGTTCCTTATGTTATTGAGCTCCAGCTCAAGCTGTCGAATCTTAATGTCCTTCTGCGTAAGTTCGTCCTTCAGTCGCCGCAACTCTTCCTGCTGCCTGAAGAACATCCGCAAGAGCTGCAGAGCAAAACACACAGGGTTACACACACATATATAAACACCTAATAAATTGTCCTTTCAACAACCATAATAAGTCTAAACAGAATTACGGTAACACCTCATTCTCTGTACGGGGAGGCACGTTTTCTAGCAGGTCAATCCCATTGACCACTCCACCCTTCTTCTCCTTCACAGGAGCCTTGAACACCAGCTTGTTTGGTCTGTTGTAGCCCTCTTTTAAGGACATGAGCACCGGACCTAGACGTGTACATACAGACATGAATTCGATTCATTTTAGCCTTTGTCTTTCTTTTCAAATATTTTTATTCTGAAAATAACTGCAGGTCTTTACCTCGGTTGATTCCACTGAGCCACTCATCGGCAGACAGAGCAGGTTCTGTCCCAGGAGTCATGGGATAAATGTCCTCCTGATATGTCTCTGACTGCAAAGAAAGAGGGTTTTCAATTTACTGTTATTCGTACAGATTTAAGTTTTTCATTAGATTTAGTTGATGTGTTAGGCTCTGGGCAGGTAAATGTTCAGTCTAAACTAACACATGGAATCCAGAGGCTCACAGAAAGAGCACTATTATCACTATGTTCATTGTGCAAAGCACTTAGGGATGCTTCAGGATGTGTAATTGGTGTACTGTGAGAAACTTTGGATGAAAAGGTAACTCAGTATCTGAGTGAAAATAATTCCAGGTATTCAGGTAGTATCTGTTGTTTCCCAAATTAAATTACAGTAATATTAATTATATAGTTGCTTTGTCATTTTACTAAAATTAAAATATATATACAGTATATTTAATTCATATTTAAATATTACAATATTACAACCTTCACTGTGTATTTTTTTCCACCAAATACTAGAATTTTTTGTTTACATTTATTTGTATAACACTTTGCATAATAGATATAATTGTGTTCATTGTGCAAAGCACTTAGGGATGCTTCAGGATGTGTAATTAGTGTACTGTGAGAAACTTTGGATGAAAAGGTAACTCAGTATCTGAGTGAAAATAATTCCAGGTATTCAGGTAGTATCTGTTGTTTCCCAAATTAAATTACAGTAATATTAATTATATAGTTGCTTTGTCATTTTACTAAAATTAAAATATATATACAGTATATTTAATTCATATTTAAATATTACAATATTACAACCTTCACTGTGTATTTTTTTCCACCAAATACTAGAATTTTTTGTTTACATTTATTTGTATAACACTTTGCATAATAGATATAATTTCAAAGCAGCTTTACAAAAAATAGTTCCATAAAAATGGCAAGTTAAAGGCAACAGTGGTAAAAAAAAAAAAGATATCAGATAT